TTCGAATTTGAGAAAGGAATTAAAGATGTACATATTCACCTATCTAAAGGCTATAGCTCTGAGTAAAAACACTTGCCTGTGGGGGTGGAGGCCCTCTAGGGTGTATGCTCACAGGCTAACTTTGATCAAACCAAAGCTTGCAGTTTCAATTTGGTATTCAGTTGGATTTAGATGTATTAGGACTACCTGTCAGTCACAGTTCAACTGGTGATTGAACAAAGCTCGAGGGCTCCCAGTATTTGTTAATACCATTTACTTTGGATTAGACCCCTGCTTTCTCCTGAACATTCTTCTTAATGAATTCACAGTATCCAACAGTGAGTGCAAAAGTCATGTTAGCTTGGCAGCCCTCTGGCTTCTGCACAGTTCTAAGAAGCTGGGCGAGGGAGCTAAGAGGAATGGCCTTAGCTTTGCTCCTACTCTGCCCTTCCCCGCAGCAGCTGCAGGCCTTCTTCTCCAGGAGCATGGATCTCCCGTCCACTGGTTCTGGGGCTTTTCTAGAAGTGAAGCCTAATCAGTGCGCCAGCCAGAGGCCAGTTTGTCATGGGATTTCCTGGGGAGCTTAAATGGAACCGGACTGTAGATTTGCCACCACTGGCAACCTCCTTTCCTGGCTGTATGCATCTGCTGCATAAGTAAAGGAAGGAGGCAAACATCATGAGCAACATCAAGCTTTGGAGTGTACAGACGCTGGTCTGAATGAGAGAGGGGTGAGAGGGACCAGTGAATTGGTGGTAGAGCTAGAGGTTCAGTTAGGAATGAGCGGAGAGGGGCCGGTATTTTCTTCTCTGAGCTTTGGAGTGTACAGACGCTGGTCTGAATGAGAGAGGGGTGAGAGGGACCAGTGAACTGGTGGTAGAGCTAGAGGTTCAGTTAGGAATGAGCGGAGAGGGGCCGGTATTTTCTTCTCTGTTCATCTATTTCTTGCTTAGTCTTCTTGATGCAGCTGAAGATCTCCTTAAACAGCGCTTTGTATTCAGGAGGTGTCGTCGGGGCGGGGGAGCCGATGGGCTCTGGGGTGACAGAGGCTGGTTCAGGCTCCAACCCAATCATGTCCCTGGCTGGAGCTCTGGGGGTCTGCACAGCCTTGTGTGACAGGGAGCCCTGTCCCTGCTGGCACTTCTTCAGCAGCTCCTCGTACTTCACCTTCAGGGCACTGTACTGAGTGTCCACTTCGTGTAGAAGGGAGGTGCCCCTCTGCTTCACAGCCCTGGCCCTCCTGATGCAGGTCTCCTCGTGACCCATCACAATGTCACCCCCTGCCAAGCTGCTTAGGACTGTCTCACTGCTACTGCGCTTGAGAGGCTTTCTCTGTGTCTCCGGCACAGTCAGGAACATCTCCTCCAGCAGGCTCTGGCTGGGCTCTTTGAAAGGAACAAAGAGAGAGTCTGGCACCAGCTTCTCGACCCCATTCACAAAAGGATGCTCCAATTGCAACATCTGCCGCATCTCCACCACCTCCGCCTCCAGTTCCAGCGCCCGGGCTCGGTAGGCGTCCGTGGCCCCCAGCTGCTGTTCTAGTTCGCTGTTCTCCTTCAGCACAAGCTCGTATTCCTCCTCCATGGTCACCCGCTTCTGCCGCTCCAGGCTCAGCTGAGCCTGTAGCACTGTCACTGTTTTCTTCAGGTGCTCATTTTCCTCTTCATCAGGGCTTTGCTGACTTTGTAAGGAAGTGATCTTCTCCGCAAACACATGGTCATACACGAAGTGTCTGGGAAAAAAAGAGTTGAGAGGATACATCACACGGGTCAACTGAGAGTGAAGATAAGGCTGCCTGTGCCCCACCCACTACACAGATTCTGACCTAGCTGCTCTGCTACCTACACTTGGGGGGTCTTAAAGCTTTCCAAGTGATTCACAGTAGGCAGTCAAGGTTGAGAACCCTTGCTGTAGTGACTTTTAACCAGGAATGCACATCAGAATCACCCAGGCAGCCTTTTATCCACACCTGGAAATGTTGAGTTAGGCCTGAGGGAATGCACTGGTACTTGCGGTTTGAACAACTCCACAGTGATCTGAGGTATAGCCATGGTTGAGAACCACCAAATGAACCAGCTGCTCTCCTGTTCGTTCCTAGGCAACTTGTAACTGGATTTATTCATGTGATCATGTGCTTCTTTGCCCTCCATGAGACCGAAAGCTCATGAGGGCAGGAGCTGTGTCTATTCTGGTCACTGTTCCTCACGTCTGGCTTAGCGCTGTCACACGACAAGTGTTCAATGAACAGTTCTCTTAAAGATTCAAACTCATTGGGGCCGGCCCGTGGCTCACTCGGGAGAGTGCGGTGCTGATAACACCAAGGCCCCGGGTTCGGATCCCATATAGGGATGGCCAGTTCGCTCACTGGCTGAGCATGGTGCTGACAACACCAAGTCAAGGGTTAAGATCCCCTTACCGGTCATCTTTTAAAAAATAAATAAATAAATAAATAAATAAAAATAAAAATCAGTTAAACTTAGAATGAAAATAACATAAAAGAGTATATAAGCTCTGTAAGTATATATTTCTACTTCTACTTCACCAGCCTGGGATACTAACAAGGTCACATCTCACTATCAAGAAATTCTTTCATTCTTTGGAGTCCCTTCATCCATGGGTTTATCCGGTCCAGGATATCAGTTTTTCATATACCGGCTCGCCAGAGAGAAAACTGAGAAGTCTAACCAGTCTCCAGTAAGCCCTGATGTTGCTACCGCAGGGGGTCATGTTAGGCAGTAGGGATTCTGCTATTTGGCTGCTCTTCTTGGCACATGGTGTTCAGCTTACCCAGTGTCTGATGCATCAAGGTCCTCCAGTGTGGATGGCACCACAGCTTGAATGAACTCCCTTTGCACTGGTCACCACCAACATTGCCACGGAGCTGCCTCCAGCACTGTTGTGGGGAGGGGAATCTCAGGGAGGCTTCTGGAAGTGCTGCCTTTCCTAAACTCATTAAAGTATAAAGGCATTTCTTTAGGCAAAAAAAATAAAAATAAAAACAAAAACACCCCTCCTTTGCCTGGATTTTTACTAAAATTTCCATTTTTCTCTTTGCTCTAATATGAAATACAACCCCAAAATCTGCGGTCTAGCAGAAGCAATTCATCTTATCTTAAAAACTAAAATTTAATACATTAAAAGCACAGAAAGAAATGCTCTCTGGACTTTTCAAAACTGAGTTTTCACAGAATCACCTACTAAGGCCCAAGACCTGTGTGATTTGTGTGTTCAAGTTAAGTGTTTTGTTCAAACCACTGGTGATCTAATAGCCAGCTGGTATGTCTTAAAATGGTGCTTTTAATCTAGAATCCTGAATGTGTCAATGACATAAGACACTCCCTGCTTGTAAATCCACGGAAAGGCAGGCTCTTACTGGCGGAGGTCATACAGCTCTTTCAGACATGCAAAGCTGGGCACGGATTTCTCCTGGCTGCATTTCCCCGGGCTCCTTTTCCTTTGGCAAGATGATTTCAGCTCCTCCACTTGGCTCTGGAGGTGATCAATGTTGGTTTGTAGACATTCAATTGTTTCAGTTAGGCTGTGAGGAACAGACAGAGCTGACTGGTGCTTGTCATATTAAATTAAGGACAAAAGTAGTGAGGAGAGATTAGTTGCAAGCCACTCAAACTGGGCTTTCTTAATTGGAAAGGACTTCTATTTAATCTCCACTCTCCAAAAAGAATTAAACCTTATGCTATATATTGACCCAAATCCACTACAGCCACATTCTGTTCTAGGTTATAACCTCCTCTGTGGCTTCCTGGAGAGATTCTAGGAAACTCACCTCAGAATCTTTTGCTGTGAGGCCTTGCTGTCAGCAACTAGCCTCTGATTTGTTTCTTCCAGTTCCCTTGCTGTGACATCTAACTGCTCGTAAACCTTTGCATGCTGTTCATTCATCTGCCGCAGAAGCTCCACCTGCTTGGTCAGATACTATAAGAGAAGATGATTGCATCAGGTGACACAGACAGATAAGATGTCTGCAATGTTCCAACCCCAATTCTCTAACCCTCCAACACCAGCTTGTATGGGGTAGGGGCTGGCTTCCATGTCTGGCTCAGCACATGGAGGTGTCCACCAACCCAGAAGCTCCCTCAGCCTCGGGTCAGAGTTGTACGGAAGCTTTATTACATAGGAATGATAGGTTAAGTCATTGGCCATCGGTGAAAGAACTCAATCTCTGGCCCCTCTCCACTCCCCAGAGGTTGGGCAGTGGGGCTGATAGTTATCTCTAATCATGTGGTTGGTTCCTCTAGTGACCAATCCCTACCCTATCATTCAGGAAAATCCCATGGCTTTTAGGAGCTCTATGCCAGGAACTGGGGACAAAAACTAAATATACATAATTTTTATCATAACAAAATACCACAGGTTTATTTTATGAAAAGAAGAACTTTTTTTTTTTTTTAATAAAGATGACTGGTAAGGGGATCTTAACCCTTGGCTTGGTGTTGTCAGCACCACGCTCACCCAGTGAGCAAACCGGCCATCCCTATATGGGATCCAAACCTGTGGCCTTGGTGTTATCAGCACCTCACTCTCCCGAGTGAGCCACGGGCCGGCCCGAAAAGAAGAACTTTAAATCCCAATTAAACTACCTGTCTTCATACGAAATGAGCACAGGCTATCCTTGTATGTTTAGCTCCCCTTATGCTTACTAACATCCCTGAGTATCATGAGGTTGGTCTAATTCTACAAAGCACATAACATGAATAAAATTAATATTCAACAGAAAAATCTAAAGTGAGACATGATAATCCCTCAAGAGAAGCAGCATGGATGTGATCAAAGTTTAGGCAAAAATGTCATACTTAACGAAAATAACGCGTAAAGGAGGATTTTAGATGATTCTTCACTTGAAAAAAAATCATTTTTTTCTCTGAGTGAGTCATTCTGGACAAAAAATAGTGAAAAGAAAGTTGATTTAAACTCAGATATTTTAGCTTAATATGCTTCAAAGACCCCTGCTATTTTTAATTCTATGAGAATGTTATCACTGTCCTCCTCCTTACTCATGAGAAATTTGCCAGATTATTTATTTTGGTCCTGCTAGACTGCCATCACAATGGCCAAGGATAAAGGGGAATAATCACAGTCTTAATGTCACAGTGTTGTCACCTTGGTTCCCTTCCTCCCCTCCTCAATTCTACCTGAAGACACCCGAACAGTATGTATTCAAAATGAAATATTCATAATATTTCCCTGGACACACCAGAAGGAGAAAAAAAGAGGTGCGAAGCATTACCAATGGTCAAATAGTAGACTGAGCACTTGACTTTAAAAACACTCTTCTTGAGGCTTTTTATACAACTGTACAAATATTTGAAAGGCTAATAGATTTCTTTCAAAGAACAGGCTAGGGTTAAATGACATTGAACGGATTCTTCTTTAAAGTGTTGAAAAAAGCACATATGGCCTTTTTCAAATCCAGTTACATAACTCGGTGGCAACGTGTGGAGCAAATACTTAACTTCTCTTTAATTCAACTTTCTCATCTGAAACTCTTGGGGCAAAAAGTGTTTTGGAAAATTCTTTGAATTTTAGAACAACACGACGCTCACACCTTACACTTTATAATATCCCTGTGAGGTCTGGGCAGCACCCTGTAATCAAGCATTAATATTTCTGCATCAGAAAGTATGAATATGGCGCCGGCCCGTGGCTCACTCGGGAGAGTGCGGTGCTGATAACACCAAGGCCACGGGTTCGGATCCCATATAGGGATGGCCGGTTCGCTCACTGGGTGAGCGTGGTGCTGACAACACCAAGCCAAGGGTTAAGATCCCCTTACTGGTCATCTTTAAAAAAAAAAAAAAAGAAAGAAAGAAAGTATGAATAAAGATTATAAACAGCCTCACATATCAGTTCAGGTCAGGATTTGCTGTCAAATGAATTGGCTGCAAACTTAAGGATAAAAGTCTTCGTTTATAGTTTTTTGGGTTTGGAGTTGATAATAAGAGGCTGTGGATCTGTTAGTACCCACCACGTAGAACTGACAGGATTAGATGAGGTAGGTGGGCACATAGCATGGTGCTTGTCAAAGCCTGTATTTATTCTTCACTGCCTCAACCCCCACCAGCTTCTCTTGGTCCCTTGGAAATCACCACTGATTATCATGAGGGAAGCCTTTCCAAAGCTGTAGAGTAGTCCTTAATTCTGCCCTCTGGCTAGCAATGCCATAGTAGGTTCCTGTCATTGATGTGAATGTGTTCAATCTCTTAGAAATACTGGAGTGGAAAAAAGGTTTAAAATCATGGGAATATATATAACAGCTGCAGACATTTTGCAAGCTACTTTATATCAAGTACAAGGTCTCAAGTATTCTTTGGGACTGATTCAGAAAAAGGCTAATGTATAAACCAGACACTCATTTATTAACTTATGACAGGAGCCTTTCCTGTCCGGTGACTGGAATATTCTCATCCTCTATATAGGACACATCTGCCCCATAATGGGCATGTGAAAGGTCAGTTCATGAATAAAGTCTTTCTGGTGGGCACAGGATCACAGAAAAGAGTCTGATGTGGGGCAGGGCTGCAGTAGCTCAGAGTATAGGCTTTGGGGTCAAAACTTGGTTTGAAGCCCTGCTTTGCCATTTTTAACTGGGTGACTTTCAGCAAGTAACTTAATTTTTCTAAGGTGAGGTTTCCTCATCAATTACCTCATAAGGCTGTAAAGATTTATATATGTGTGGTGGAGACTGAAAGGAAAAACCCTGGCCTGAGTGCAAAATAAGACACAGCAGGAGACAGGGACTCAACCAAAGTGTATCAGGCAGGCAAAATGAACAAGCGGGCTGCCCTCTCGGAAGTGGGAGCAGCAGCGGGAGAGTCGGGGTGGGCCTTTTATATCCAGTCAGGCTGAGCTGGACTGTTCCTATTGGCTAAGAAGGAAGGGGAGGGAAGCGAGTGGGGTTTAAGCTCAGTTGGGATTTTTCTATAGGTGGAGAAATTCGCACAGGCGGGAAGGGGATGTGGTGGTGAAGAAGGGGGAGGGTTTTTTTTGTGATTCTCGGAAAAGCTGTTCTAGGGACCTGAAACTCTCCGCAGCCATTTTGGGTGTTCCTGCCGCCATCTTAGACATCGGCTAAAACATAATTGCCTAACAGAGACCAGAATTTGTCATCCTAAAATATGCCTCTTTGGCTAAGGATTATTGAGCTGAAGGCAATTAAGAAGCAGATACAGGAAAGCCGACTCTCTATATGCCTGAAAGCAGGACAAAGGTTAACCGCTGAAGACAACTTCTGACCCTGTGGCCAGGAGACAGCACCAGAGGAAACTACATTAACAAGCTTCACTTATTATCCTTTATCTGCCTTCCCACAAGTTGCTGCAGCTAGACTCAAAGTCCTTTTCCTTTGTCTTGCCATTTCCCTAAAAATTTACTGTTCTTTGTTGAAGATGCTATATCCACTCAAAGCCACATCTTTTAAGAATTACTCACTTGCTGGGAATCTCCCACATACATACGCAATACACATGATAATAAGCTTGTTTTTCTCTTGTTAATCTGTCTTCAGCATGGTCCCTGGTGTAGCATAGAACTGCTCAGTGAGAGGCAGCTGCTGTCATTTTGATCCAACATAAGTAGTCTATGGATCACACTTAGTATGTTGATCTTGGACATGAAAAATCCTGGAAGTAGCCCTCGCCTGAACCAATGTCCCTTTCTCTTGGGTCTAGGAGACATAAGCACTCACTGGGATAAACAGTGAGTCAAGCTCAATGCTGACCATTAGGAATCAGCTTAGTTGCAGTTATCCACTATAATTAAGTTATATTTTAACCATATCACAGCAACCTCACTTACTATAATGCTACACTTTGATACATTCTTACAATACTTTGAGTGCTCCTTCCTAACTTCTCAGTTTATCCAAATACTGACTTTCTACAGATGGCTAATCTTACCCTCCACATTTTAAAACTTTCTTTTATGGATAATTTCAAACATATAAATGCAGAGAAACTGGTTTAATGATGGATATACCCATCATCCAGTTTCAACAATTATCAACACGGCAATCTTCATCTCTACTTTGCTCCTCCCCAATCATTTTAAAGCACCTTAAGTACACATCTTGGGCTGGCCTATTAGCTCAGCTGGTTAGAGTAGGGTGGTATAACACCAAGGTCAAGGGTTTAGATCCCCATACTGGCCAGTTGACCCCCCCCCCCCCAAAAAAAGCTCCCAAGCGGGGCACTCTCCAGTGCGCCACCGGGCCGGCCCTACATCTTCACTTTTGATAACTTCTAATTGAAACTTAGCACTTCCTTCCATTATGAATGGAGGCAACAAACCACCACTAGTGTTAGGGGTATCTGGGACTTC